GAAGAGTCCAGCAGTGCCCTGTAGTGCAGAGTCCCCTGTTCACCAGAACCTGGTGCTTCAGGGTGTCTTCTATGCATATCACATGCATTCCGCTATTGTAGCTGATCCCCTTTTTCCCCTTCAATCCAGTTGTCTGCAGTGGTTCTCTTTGCCTGTTGTGGGCACAGTTTGGTTCTTGTGTTGTGCAGGAGCCAGGCTGGGGCTGCCTCGGGCTTGAGTGGAATCAGAACAGGCATTTGCCAGAGCTGCAGTCCCACCAAAGTGCAGGGCACTCTCCCTATGTCAAGCCCTGAGAAGCTTTTATTGGTGGGCAGTGCTTGTAGACAGACCAGCTATCTGCCCCCTCGCCCATTGCTGGGGCTGCAGTCTGATTGTCGCATGTAGTTATCTTCCCCTCTCCCTCCATGGAGCAGGAGTCACTTTGGAGTTATGGTGGCCCCTTTTGCGGCTGCTTGCACACTGCTAGGTTCCTGGCCCCACTTTGGATGGGCTCCCACCAAGAGCACATTGTAGGGGGCAGGACCATAGGAGAACACAGGGGCAGGGTGAGCAGTGTCAGCCAGGTTTGCACAGGTCTGCTGTGGGAGGGGACCTGGAGCAGAGGCCTGACTGGTGGGACATATCTTCAGATGACCTAGGGGCCCGGGCACACTGTTAGCAAGTTAAGTAGCAAGTGTTGGCATAGCATTTGTTCCCACAGGTGTCCACATGGCTAAACTGGGGGACAGGGCAGGGAAATAGTGGCCCCAGCTCCTTTGTTCCTGAAGAAGTCTCCTAAAGTTCCCTGCCCCTCCAGCATATGCTCTGAGATGAGTAAACAAATCTCCCTCCAGTATACCCCGGGTGTATTTCAAACTATGGCTTCTATACTATAACTGCCTGGGTTGCTTGCTGTGCTGTCCCTTTAAGGCCAGGGACTCGGTTTCCTGTTGCTCTCCCCGCTCTCTCAGAGCCAAGCCTGCTGATTTTTAAAGTCCAGGTGGTAAGCCTCACTGATTGTAAGAACTCACAAAATTCAATCCCTCTGGTTTTCAAAGCCAGATGTTAGGAGGAGTCACCTGCCCCATGTGGGCTCCAGTGTAAGGGTGTTTTTCTACTCTCTCTATGCCCGCAGCATCCCTCCTTCCCATGCACAGTCCCAGGGGTTCATTTAACTCCCAGCCACATCTCTATCCTTCCCACCTTCTTTGATGTGACTTCTCCAGATTTAGCTGTGAACAGATGGTTTTCTCAGTAATTTACATTGATGTGGGTGTTATCTAGCTGTATCTGTGGCACAAAGTGAGGTTAGGGTCTTCCTACTCTGCCGTTTTCCCTGTAAGTCACCTGTCTAGTGTATTGTTATTCACACCCACTAATGGAACATTTTTCTTATCACCCACTCTCTCATCCCACAGATATGAGGCAAAAGAATATTACGAGGCACTTCCAGAGCTGAAGCTGGCCATTGACCAAATTGACAATGGCTTCTTCTCTCCCCAGCAGCCTGACCTCTTCAAAGATGTAATCAACATGCTATTTTATTATGACAGGTGAGTTCCCACAAGAAGATCATGCTATTTGGGCCATGAAAAGGGGACAAGAATGTCTAAACCAACTACAGTGTCTCTGTGTAATTAGCGTAGTTCTGTGATCTGAGAAGCTAATCTACACTTGAAAAATCAGATAGTCTTTACTAACTATGCTAGGAAGGTTTAAGAATAAGACCCACAAATTGGGGATTCTTTTTCTCTTTCCACTGGTACACCCAGCTTTCAAGTACATCCATATGTTGACATTCTTACATGTGGGAAGAACCATATAAATGTCGAAGCCTGGTTAAAACTCTAATGAATAGAAATGTAAGTTTGGTAAACCAGCCATGCCAGACATTACACAAAAGAGAATTTGTCAAGGGGAGGGTGCACCTGGATGGCTCAGTCAGTTAAGCATCTGACTCTTGGTTTTGGTTCAAGTCATAGTCTCAGGGTCCTGAGATCAAGCCTCACATCAGGCTCTGTGCTTAACCCGGAGTCTGCTTGGTATTCTCTCCCTTTCTCCTCCCTCCCCCTTATCCTCTTCCCCTGCTCATGTTTGCATGCTCTCTCTTTCTCTCTCTCTCTCTCTCTCTCAAATAAATAAATCTTAAAACAAAAAAAAAAAGGTAATTCTAGGTGGAATCTTAGCACACATATTTTAATGAAGCTTTTTGTTGTTTTATTTTTCCCTTCTAATCCCAAAAATACAGGTTTAAAGTCTTTGCAGACTATGAATCCTATGTCAAGTGTCAAGAAAAAGTCAGCCAGCTGTACATGGTGAGTACACTGCCAAGACCATAAACGAAACCAGTTTACTACGGTTAATTAAAATTTTTGTTTCTTTTATTAAATCTAAATAACAGGGCCCCATTAACCAATCCAAAAAGAGAAGTGAGACAACTGTCCAGGATATTTAGACCTTATGTTCTGGTAGAATCATATCTAGTCCCCCAAAATGCATAGACCAGAGTAAATTAAAGTTAGTGGTCATCAGCCAGAAGGGGCAGTACTTGAGTTAAGCTGAGTGGCTCACTACCTGCCTCCAAGAACTCAAAGACGGAAAGAAAATGGTCAACTCTATCTCTTTCCTCTTGATCTCCACTTGTATTTGTGTGTAGAATGGCTACAGAGGAAAAGACATATAAAGGAAGCAGGAAAGGAAAATATGACCAAGGGCAAGGACAAGTGTGAATGCCAGTTTTGTACAATGGATCTCTTTTGCTAAATCTATGGCCCAAATCCAAAGATGCCCATCTCAAAGCCCAGGATTTGGTTCAATCTTTCCTGTTAGTGCTAATTGCAGTTTTTACTCATAACAATTATCATATTGTTAAGCTTAGAAACATGTTGAGAAGTCTATTCATTTTCCATTTAAAAGGTTTATTTTCTTATTTAGTAGGTTTTCAAAGTTTGAATAAACGAATTTTAGACTCTGTGTTACAGTACCTTATGGCATAATCATAGTTTCAGTTTTTCTTTTAAATTTTTATAATACATTGCTAATGGCTTTGAGTGATGTTCTGGTCTTTTTCTTTTTTTAAGATTTATTTAATTTTTTGAGTGAGAGAGAGTGGGGGTGAGAGGGGTGGGGCAGAGGGATAGGGGGAAAGAAGCTGAAGCAGACTCCGAGCTGAGCGCAGAGCCAGATGCAGGACTTGATCTCACAACCCTGAGATCGTGACTGAGCCAAAACCAAGAGTTGGGTGCTTAACTGACTGCACCATCCAGGCACCCATGTCCTGATCATTTTTAACAAATTTTTAGAGTTCTTTTAAAAATCATGAGGGTATGAAATAAATAGCTTCTTATATTACTTTAAATAAAAATTATAAAATTTGGATAGAATATATTTTTTCAAGGATAAGGTCTTAATTGATCCTGTTTTGAAACCCCAGGATAGTATTTGGAATTCAGTGTTAAATCAGCTGGGGTGTCTACCTTCAGAAAGAACAAGAAAGGAGAAGTAGGTCAATAAACTGTCCCATTACATTGTTCCCCTGAACAACTACTAACATATTAGAGTCGTGTTTTTCACACGATGATGTAAGCCACAGATTAAATCTCTTGACACAGCATCTAGCAGACAATGAACATTAGTCCCTTCCTTCCCCTCTAGTTTAAAGGGAGGTGAAATTTAAAAAAATAAAGCATGGGAAGTATGGCTTGCATGCCAAAGTATTGTAACCAGAGCAACAATTACCAATTAGGGAATTTACATCCATGGTTTCTCTTAAAATGAAAAATACTCTTTTTCCTTCTTAAGAGAAATACACTCTAAGCAGGAGAAAAAGCATGATCTACCCTCTCTAGCTCTCAGCTGTTAAATAAGTGTATTTATGACTCACTACAACTTTATCCTGTCATTTTTCCCCATGAAATGTGCTTGGGTATGCTTGGCCTAGCGTTCGTCATAAAGTTGGATGGGCGCTCAGGCCATAGGCCATATGTATGTGTTCTTTACAGAATCCAAAGGCCTGGAACACAATGGTACTCAAAAATATAGCTGCTGCAGGGAAATTCTCTAGTGATCGAACAATTAAGGAATATGCCAGGGACATCTGGAACATGGAGCCTTCAGATCTCAAGATTTCCCTATCCAATGAATCTAGCAATGGGGTGAACAAAGACAATGGAAAGTAAGTTGTAAAATGTCTCGAGAAAAAAAAAAATAACTTCTTGCTGGATTTAAACCCTTTTACAACATTCTTTGATTTTTGTTTTATTTTGTTAGCTAATAATCTGGTTAGGAATTTCTGGGAATTGGGAGGGCAAGTGTATGACTGTATTAGGGCTAAAAATAAAGTATCAATTTACAAGGGCTACATGAGTGCCAAAACTTGTTATTTGATGGCAGATTGAGTAGCATGCTAGGACTTTCTCCAGGGCTATTCAAAAGCTAGAAGATACTTGGAACTTTTTTTTTTTTTTTAAAGATTTTATTTATTTATTTGACAGACAGAGATCACAAGTAGGCAGAGAGGCAGGCAGAGAGAGAGAGAAGGGGAAGCAGGCTCCCCGCTGCCCAGAGAGCCCGATGTGGGGCTCGATCCCAGGACCCTGGGATCATGACCTGAGTTGAAGGCAGAGGCTTTAACTCACTGAGCCACCCAGGCGCCCCTACTTGGAACTTTTTAATGCCATTTAAATTAACTAAAACACAAATTACTTAACTACATTAGAGCACCATTCTTACCCTGTTAAGTCCCAACTAAAGACCACCTTGTTCACAGCCCCAGGATGTTTGGTAACCACACATTTTAAAAGGGATCCAAATTTTACCAAATTCTGATACTCTACAATGAGATTTCAGTTTGTTCCTCAAAGTAGACTACAATCTAAATGAGAGCTTTCAATAACGCCCAACATCCATGCTTTCCCTAAAATGGCAAGTGACTTGTAGAAATGTCAGTGACTTCAGCTCATCCAAGAAGCCCAGTACAATTTTACATCAAAAATATGCATCATGGGTGGTGTCTGGACCAAGTCTTCACTGCAGATTTCTTGTACTCTCAGACCTCATGCCCACTGCTCACTCAGGAACTCTCTGCAAAAAAAGGACCTAGATCAGCTCACATACTTTCTCCACTTCCTGGTCTAAGTAAAGCCAGAGCAGCCCTAATTGCCTTTAAGAGAAGGATTTAGCAAATTATTTAGCATTTAGCAAATCAGCTCTTACCTCACAGTGTTTAGTAGTGTGGGGCTTCTACAGAGGAAGTTGTGTTGGAAACCAGGGGGAAAGACCACCATCTTGACCCTCTCTTTGTTCCTATACGCGTTGTGTGCAATTTCATAGAGCTGCATGGGACAGAAAAGATAGAGACTCAAAGGCTGACCATTAAAGGCGGTGTTTTTCTAGTTTAATTTTCCTCAAAGGGTAAAGAAACAGCCAACTTGGGGACTTAGTCCCATTAAGTCGGAGATAAGGGACTCTCTACCACCCTTCCCCAACTGCCGGTGTTGGCTGCCTCTACAGCTAAGGAACTAAAAGCGGCACAGCTAAGGAACACTGACAGAACTTCATCCTTCTCCTACCAACACCCTCCCTGCAAGCGGACAGGAACTGTGACAGACCCACTCTATTCGTCTAAAAGAAAAGAAACTGAATCCCACTTTTGAGCTACAATGGGAGAGACTACACGGAGGTTGATGCAGCTGCCTGGGATTTTCTCTACCCTTGTAGATCCACACACATGTGTTCAGATGAGGAGCCAGGATCCACCACAAACACTCCTTCAAGCTCCACAGCATAGCACACTGATGCAGACTATATACACCATGAACGTGGCCATTGAGGGGCATACAGAATCCCTTATAATGTCAGAGACCCTCCTGTGGGATCTAATCTTAAAGTCTGGCTAAATGAGAAAATGGTGTGACAAATGAGAAAATGGTGTGCTCAGGCAGCACTGAGCTCTTCGTTTACCTTCTTTCCAAACTCCAAAGGCACCGTCTTGTCATCCTCACCATGTATGATGAGAAGGGGAGAAGACAGGAATTTAACACTAGGCACAAGTAGAAGAAAAGCATTCAGTTAAAGAATTAGAGGTTGGGATTTCTCTTCTTCTAAGTTGGAGCTTTAGTAAAACATGAAATTTGTCTCAAAATATAAGATCTTTCTTCCCCCAGGAATGACAACTTCATACATAATAAACTTCATATAGTAACTGTTTTTTTCTTCCAGGCAAGATTATCTCTCTCTTGTTGACTCACATAATTTAGTTAGGTATTTAATTAATTTATTTCTGTATGATTTTTTTTAATAAGAAAAATACTAAAAACACTCAATTTGTACAGTTAAAAGAACCTCATCTTTTTCCTTATTCTACCTTATTTCGTAATATTTGGGATATTTTAACTAAAAGATTAGATTGAAGAAATGAAACAACTCAAAACTCAAAAATAGCAAGAACTACCCTAGGACTAAAGAGAACTCTTTGTAGCAATGCATTTACTTTTCCCTATAAATGTACAGATGGACACATGATTAACAGGATTAATCAGCTTCCTTGTCAGCCTCCTAGTCTGGTAATTCAGAAAGGCTACAGCACGAAGAAGACTTGTTCCTCATTTTAACTTTCTCAAACAAAACTTCCCAAATTCTGATACGCATCCATCCTGTCACAGTGACTCACTGTTACTCCTGAGAAGTTTAGATCCTTCAAGTGTGTCGACATAAAGTACTGATAACAACCGCCCATTTGGAGGCACTCTTAAATCAGCTGTGAGGGGCTAACTTGCCAAATTCTGGTCATTGGACTTGCTGTTGGGTCAAAAGGCTGAATGGTGAGTGGGTTTTGGTTACATGGAGAATAAGGCCTAGAAGTCAGGGATCCCCAAGGGAAGTTAGACTAGACCCTCTCAGAGCACCTTCAAAGGAACCACCTTTATGACTTCAGAGAAGGTATCGACTTACTAAGTCATCAAGTTAGACATGAGGAAAATACCAAAAACTAAAAATTTGTGGACACATTATCTCAAAGTTTAGTGCCCGTCTAAGAATTGTTACCTACCCATTCAGTAAGTCACATGATAGTTACCCTCCAGAATCCCCTAAATACAGTAAAAATGGACATCTTTTCATCATTAGCTTACTTTTCATCATTAGGGAAGACTATTTTGTCTTTTCTCAGGGCATCCATAAGCGCGCGTACAAATCCTGGAAGTTTCCGGTAAATCTGTTTTTTAAAAAGAAAGAAATTAAAGCATGACCTATATCTATGTCATTTGTTATGTTTTCCTACATGAACTATACTAATATAGAGAGTAACAACTTTCTACATATAATCAACTTTTTAAAAAACAAACCTCATGATTTTGAAAGTAACTCATGTCATTGTAGGGAAATTGGAAAATACAAAAAGGAAGAAAGGAGAGGGGTATATATATGTGTGTGTATGTATGTATATATATATGTGTATATATATATATACATACATATGTATATATACATACACACACATATATATACACATACAGTGGAATATTACTCAGATACACACACACAACCACCACTTCTTTATCCACTCATCAGCTGATGGACATTTGGGCTCTTTCCATAGTTTGGCCTGAGAATTTTTGACTAATCAGAATATTCTCTTCAGTAACTAGACTAGTTAATTATGTTCACTGTAGAAGCAATTTTTAGGTTATGCATCTATCACTGCTCTTTTACAAATATGAAGATAGAGTTAATGGTGCTGTTTGTATTTTAAAGAAATAGGGGAAGCAAAAATGACACAATGTTAACAGTGATTGTTTGTGGATGGTGGGGACTGTGCATGATTTGTTTCTTCTTTCTAACTTTTTGCACCACCTTGGGCTGGGAGGCCCACAGAATCTGGCTGTCACCTGTCTGTCTGTCCTCTCACTAAGCCCACTCCTATCCACCCTCGGGCCATGCTGCCTTCTCCTGGAACACATCAGACTGGAATGTACCTCAGGGCCCATGCCTTTCCTTTCCCTCAGCTCAAGACCCAGATTTTCCCATGACAGCCTCTTGTCAGGCAAGTCTCAGCTCAGATGATAGTTTCTTCAGAGAAACTTTCCCTACCAACCCCCCATCCACCCACCAGTCACCCTCTGTCACAGCACTTCTCATCCTGAAAATCAGCTTGTTGTGTATTTGTCTCCTACCTGTCTTCCCGACAGTAAGTATATACACTTCACAGGAAATCAGGCCACAACTTCTTTTATTCCCTATGGTATTCCTAGAACCTAGGAAATTTCCGGAACCTAACAGACACTTGAATAAAGATTTGTTGCAGATGGACTGACTCTACTGGGCCCATATCCCTGGCATACACAGTAAGCTATTATCTGTCATGTTCACCGTAGTGTGACTTGAATTTCATTCAGATTTTATTCCTTAGAATAGATGTGCCAAGAGAAAAGACCAGGAAAGTATTACATGTATTCCTCCGTTGTGCCTGAAGGGGGCGTGGGGAGGAAAGTGCTACGTCTATGATGGGACATTGCTGAAAGAAGGAACTGGGTACAGCACAGGTAGGCTGGGGCCAGTTTAAAAAGAAAAGAATTCTGCTCATTGTGGAAGGAATTTTTAGATTATGCGAATCACTGCCCTTTATCATATGGAGAAATAGAGTCAGCTGCTCTAATACATCATCTGTTGTAGCCTTCTACTGTGAACTGTAGTAATACAGAGAATAGCATCTTTCTAAATATAATGAGCTTAAAACATTTGTTTTCCTGCTTTTAAAAAGTAGTTGGTGTCCTTGTAAGGAAATTAGCACAGAACAGGGAAGCTGGGTCCAGTAAAGATGAATATCCATTTCACAGTTTTGGCCTAGGCCTGCTGTTTCCAGGAGCTTCCACATTTTCATGGGAGTGTGTCTGGCTTGCATTTTTTGCACGGTCTCATGGCAAATGATTTGCATTCAGGTGCGGTCTGGAGATCCTAATACTGCCTGTCCTGCCCCCTTTCCTTTCTCCTTCTCTTATCCATAACTAAGGGCAAGATTTCTTATTTTGTTTTCTTTTGTCTTTGTCTCCTAATTCTAACACCCCTGGAATCAGGACTTCTCTGAGGAAAATTCAATAAGAGAAGCCCTTCAGCAGTTCATCTCAAATTCCAAAGGAATAAGAAGAAAGCAGGCCCAAGTCAGTCTACCCCCTCTATTCCTCATCAGCCAGAGGTGCCCCTTGAGACTCAGAGGTCATACCATCCCCTCTAGCCCAGACCACATCGATGGGCTCCTAATTGATCTTCCTGCCTCCTCTCTCTTCTGGAATGCTGCTAAGTAAATATTCTTAGAAGACTAGTTATGGGAAATGTACTGTCACAAAGCTTTGGTAGCATCACATAAGCTACTTAAAAACAAAGTAAGAAACTCCCATCCTGGCAGCAAGCCCATCCATATCTGGCCACAATCTTTCATTCCAAAGGCTGCACACCTCCAATCCATCCGCCTCGAGTTAGATGTAGGATTGAGTCCCATTTCCTCCTCTTAAAGGGTGTGTACCAATTGGGCAAGCCTCTGAGCCTCATTTCCCTCAGCTCTAAGTGGAGACAATGATGCCAAACTCAGAGAGTTGTTATGAGGATTGAAAAGGATGACAAGTGTGCGAGATCTTTCATGGAAGCCTTATAGGACTCAGGTATTTTATAGCACATAGCTGCCTCACTCCGGCCATGTGCCTTGGGTCACACTCTGCCCTCCTCTCTGTGTTTCCTAACTGCTCTCCGTTACTTTCAAGAAAGGAGCTTAGATCCTATCTCTCTGTAAGTCTTCACTGACCGTACCTGCACACAAAACCCTTCTCTTCCCTGAACTCTTCCTACCCTGAAATGATTGTTCTGCACCCCACCCTAGCACCTACCTTAGTCTACTTAGCAATGGAAAAAGTGGGAAAAGGGAACACATTTGTTGAGTCCCCGCTAGGAGCTGGGTACTTTGCAATGATTATCTCACTTAATTTAAACTTCTAAACAACCCTAGGCAGTAGGCAGTATCATCCCCATTATTTAAAGATAGGAAAACTCAGAGAAGGAAAATAACTTACCAAGGTCATAACTGGTTAGTGGCAAAAACAAAATTTGAACCCAAATCTATCTGGCTCCATAGCTCATGCTTTTTTTCCCCACTGTGTCATGCTGCCTTCCTATTTTGAGTAATGAAATTGATTCCAAAGTGACTTATGGAAACCTCTGCCATTACTTTATATCCACCATTAATTTCCTATTTCCTCAACTAGACAGGAAGCTTCTTGAGAGTAAGGACCTATGCCTTTTACTGTATTTGTATGTCTCACACCACCTACACTTTCTTATTTAACAGGAATATTCAGAGTTATGGCATTCCACTGATCATAAAAAGAGTTAATGACCATTCAGTGCTTACTCTGTCCCAGGCATTATTATAGATGCTTTTCATATACAAATGTATTATCAAAGTCATCTGGAATAGATTATTATTACCCCCATTTTATAGATGAGGAGATTAGAACATTAAAAGCAATTAATCCAAGGCTATACAGCTGTTAAGTGGCAGCCCTGGAAACCAACCCAGGGAGTCAGACGCCAGAGCTATGGTTGTTAAAGACTGCATGATACTATAGAACTCCTCTACCTCTAAACCATAAGGTTATCTATTAAACTGAGATATCATGACATTTTTAATTAAATTTCAAACTTAAAAATATTGGAAGATTCCCCGTTTCTAATAATAGAAGAACCATTACGAACCAAACCTTTTGCCCAAGACACTAGAAAAGCTAAAAAAATATTTAAAAAAACCTTTCTGTGAAGGTGTCAGAGACCTGCCAAGGCATCTTGAGTGGTCTGGTCATCCCAGAGAGGAGGGAATCTCAGAGAGGTAAAATGGACAGTCAACACCACTCTTCTCCTTGAGACACAGCTGGCAAGTCAGGAGAAAGCAAAAAGTAGAGACCAAAAAACACAAATAGAAAAAAGATGGCACAAATAGAAAAGAACATAGTAAGAAAGTAGATTTAAACCTAAATATATCCTAATTTCATTAAGTTAAATAAACTACTACAATTAACAGACAAAGCTTGCTGGAAAAGGAAGCAAAACCCTACTACATACTGCTGACAAGAGATATGCATTAAATACAAGAATTCAGAAAAATTTAAAGTCAAAGGATAGAAATTATATATTATGCAAACACTATTCAAAACAAAAATATATTAGACACAATGCTGACTTTAAATCAAGAAGCATTACTAATCAAAAAGGATATTTCATAATAAAAAAGGATCAATTCACGTGGAAGATATAAAATTACATTCTTACTCAATGTATGCTCTACATATGTATAACATATGCTCAAAAAAGCTAAAGCAAAAATTGACAGAACTAGAGTAGAAATAAGCTCAATCATGGCAAGATATTTCAATAATCTGCCCTGAGTAACTGATAAAACAACCAGTCAAAAAATCAGGGCATGGGCACCTGGGTGGCTCAGTGGATTAAGCCTCTGCCTTCGGCTCAGGTCATGATCTCAGAGTCCTGGATTCGAGGCCCGCATTGGGCTCTCCGCTCAGCAGGAAGCCTGCTTCCCCTTCTCTCCTTGCCTGCCTCTCTGCCTGCTTGTGATCTCTCTGTGTCAAATAAATAAATAAAATCTTTTAAAAAATAAAATAAAATCAGGGCAAATACAGAAGAATTGAACGGCATGGTTAGTAATCTTTACCTAACTGATACATAAAGAACACTGCACCAAAAACAGAACATATTCTTTCCGAGCATATAGAACATATGCCAAAATTGACCATATGTTGGGACATAAAGCAAGTCTGAACAAATTTCAAAAACTGAAATCATACAGAGAGAAATCTCAGATCACGGCAGAATTAAGCTAGAAGTCAATAGCAAACATCAAATCCTCAAATGTATAAAAATTATAAAATACATATCTAAATAACCCATAGGTCAAAGAAGTCATAATATTATAAAATATTTTGAACTAAATGATAATTGAAATGCACTTGAAAACTTGTGGGATCCATCTCAAGAGTGGCTTCGGTAGAATATGCCTTCAAGCATAAATTAGAAAAGAGGAAATGCTGAAAATAAATTATCCAAGTACCATCTCTAGAAATTTTTTAAATAATAAATTGAATCTAAGAAAATAAAGGAAATTAAAAAAGTAAGACCAGAAATTAATAAAACAAAGTATTCAATATAGATAATCAACAAAGTCTGAGTTGGTTCTTTGAAGAGAATAATAAAACTAATTCTTGCTGTAAATGTTGGCTGTCCCCCTTCTCCTTAGCCTTGGATAACAGAAGCCATTGCCCCCAAGGTTATGTCACCCCCCCTAAACTATTCTGTAACCCTGCAGATGGCAGAAACAACCAGCATCCCCCTACAGTTGACTCAAACCTTAGAGTGCCAGGTGGATCAGGCCAAAACTACACTTTGCCTGAAGTCACATCTTGTTCTGCTCTTTTTCTTTCCTTTCCTTTTTTTTTTTTTTCAAGATTTTGTTTAATTATTTGACACAGAGAGAGAGCACAAGCAGGGGGAGCAGCAGGCAGAGGGATAGAGAGAAGCAGACCAACTCAAGGCTCAATCCCAGCATCCTGGGATCGTGATCTGAGCCAGAGGCAGATGCTTAACCGACTGAGCCATCCAGGCACCCTTCTGCTCTTTCCCCATCCCTTATCCTATAACCATCATTCAAATGATCTTGCAGGTTTTTCCTTTAGACCACTCTCTCAATAAATCATGAACATCAAGTCCCTGTCGTGGGCTCTGTTTATAGGAGAACCTGACCTAAAACTAAAATTAAGAAAACCTCAATCAACCAATCAAAATAAACTTATAAATATGATGTTCCTAAATTAGAAGACTCAATATTAAAAAGGCATCATTTTCCCACAAATTATATATAGACCTAATGTAATTCTAATCAAAATCCTGGGAAGCTTTTTATAGAAATTGGTGAGTGAATACCAAAATATACATCAAAATGCAAAGGACCAAGAATAGTCAAGACAAACCTTGAATAAGAAGAACAAAGCTGAAGAACTTCATAGACAGATAATAAAAACATATTATAAAGCTACAGTAATCAGGGACTCCTGGGTGGCTCAGTTGGTTGAGCGTCCAACTCTTGATTTCAGCTCAGGTCTTGATCTCTGGGTCATGAGATCAAACCGTGCTTTGGGCTCCACACTGGGTGTGGAAACTGCTTGGGATTCTTTCTCTCTCTCTGCCCCTCCCTCCATTCACTCTCTCTCTTTAAAAAAAAAACAAAAAACAAAGAACAAAAAACTATGCTAATTAGGAGATGCAGCATTCATATGAGAATGGACAGATAGATAAAGGGAAGAAATAGGAATCTACTAACAGACCCATATATATTAAGCCCTGATATATTCAAACATTGGCACTGCAGAATTGGTAGAGAAGGTTTGTTTAGTAAATGGTACTAAACTGGATATCCATATGGACTTCTACCTCCTACATACAAAAACCCATACTTGTAGATTATAGTTCTAAATATAAAAAGTAAAACAGACTTTCTACAAGAGAGCATAGAAGGATATCTCCATAATCTTTGGTACCCAGAGTTTTATTGAACAGGACACTTTTCTTAAAAATATTAACTGCATTTTGATAATTGATAAACTGGTCCACATTAAATTTAGGAATATCTCTTCATCATAAGATATCATTAAGGGAGTGAAAAGGCAAAGTTAAGAGAATGTACTGGCAATACAAATAGTTTTCTAATGACTTATCCTATGAAAAACTACAACAAAAAAGACAATTTAAAAATGAGCATGAACAAGAGATAGATATCTCACAAGAGATACCTAAATGACTAATAAACATGAAAAAAAATCCCAGCTTCATTAATCAATGAGATATCCATACTAGGACAAGGATGTGAAGCAATTGGAACTCTCATATATAACAGGAGGGAGAATAAAGTGGCCAAGTCACTTTGGAAAACTGGTTGGCACTCTAATTACTAAAGCTAAACATGTGCATATCTTACTGTCTAGCAATTCCACTCCTAGGGTATACTCCGGTGAAATATGTACCATGTTCGCAGGATACATGTTCAAGAACATTCATAACAGCAATGTTGTTAATTACCTCAAGCAGAAAGCAACTCAAATGTCCATAAAAAATAAGTCAATAAATTGAATATTTATATAATAAAATACTATATAGCAATGAAAACAATCAAACTACAACTATACCTCTTGGGTAAAATCCCACAAATATATGTTGGTTGAAAACCATAGAATACATCCTATATAATTCTACTAATTATATAAAGTTCAAAAACAAAATTATATTGCTTAGAGATGTACATGCAGATGGTAACACTATAAAGGAAAGCATGAATATGTTTACCATTAAACTCAGTCTAAGGATTACATCTAAGGGGAGGCTAATTGGATTAGGAAGTGATTTACAGGAGACTTCTGGAGGGGCCAGTGATGCTAACTTCTGGACTTAAATGTTAGTTACATGGATGTGCAGTTCATAATTATTTGTTAAATCATATATTTTCCTATCATGTTTCATTTCAAAATTAGAATTTCAAAAAAGAAACAAAATACATGGATTGTATCTGATTTATCTGTACAAATTAATGAATTTATAAGTAATTATTTAGAATAATATAATAGGTGCTCAATTAGTGGTTACCTTAAAATGTATACTTAATTGCCTAAAACCAATTGAAAGTGTTTCATTATCTCAAATTACTCTGCATTCAGTATTTTTTATTATTGAGGGGATTTCTGTATCGAGATGGAGCTTTTAATACAGGCATTTTTCAAAATGATGAGGTCTGTGAATTAGCTGTCCCAGGAAGTAATGAGCTACCTTCTCCTGAAATAGTTAAGCAAATTCAGAAAGTTCTATGCTGATTTATTACAAAAAAGATTCCAAAAGTAGGCAGCTGTATTAAAGTACCCTTAAAATGCCTCCTAACATTATCAAAGTTCAAAAATTTGGGGTCATGTATTCCCTCTGAGAATCCTCTCTCTTTCTCTTTCTCTGGCTCATTGACTAACATTTATATGGCGGTATGTCTATAAGCAGTTGAGCATCAGGCATGGGATGAAATTAGGATAATCTGCACAACAGATTAAAAAATAACTAGATCTTGTTGCCCAGTTCTTTAAACTTTATCTTCTTGGAAAGATTGTCTTCTCTACCTGCGCTACTGTGTAAAACCACTTGGCAGCTTCCTTGAATTCTCTAAAGACTTTTTTTTTAATCATAAAATAATGATAAATATATGGCTGACAATCATAGAGCTAAAAATGATATATGAGAGGCATATTTTCACTTTAAAAGGGAAAAATAATGAAATAACCTAAGTCAAGTCTATTTAAAAACTACACGATAAAAGGTAGAGTTAAACAAAGAGGAGGGGGAAAAAAGCTTTGGCTCTTAATAAGCCATTATCTCAACCTATTAGAAGAAATAAAAGAACTACAAAACCCAAAAGCCATTGTGCCCTCATTCAATAGCAGCTGGCTAAAAACCTGTCTCAGGTAAAAAATAACTTAGAAACATATAATACTAGTTAAGAAAAGGAAAATGGTTAATAAACATAAGTGTGTGGAAATCGCCTACATGTTCACATCTTGTGAAGACGGTTCAGAGACTCACCTTTAACAAGGGATAATTAATACTTGCAACCCATATGTTGGTAAATGGAGCCTCCAGAATAAGAGCATCAACTGGGAATCCTTGAAAATAATAAAAAAGAAATAACTTTCCTATCATATTTAAATACTACCTTTTCTAAACAAGGAGTCCTCGAGGTCCTGTACATGAACTACCTGAACCAAAGTTATTTGTGAAGCTTGTTAATAATGCAAATTCCTGGACTCCACACTAGACTCGAATCAGTCAGAATCTCAGGAAGGGGAGTGAGAATGTGTGTTTTTAAGTGGGCACCCCCACCCCAAGAGATTTCTATGTACAGGATAGTTGAAAATCACTACCTTCTAGGACACAGCCAGGTTTTCATGACTTGGATAATTTAAGAAAGCAAAGTACTATAGGAAGGAAGAGCATTCTGTAGCCCATGGTTAGGAATGTACCAGAGGCTGACTAGGTTGTTTTGCTCAACACTCCTCTAAGAACAATTAGAAAATGTGTGTCAGATGGGGATATGTATCCGTATATGTACACAGGTGTCCCCCTTTATCCACGGTTTCAGTTATCTGCAATCAAGAGCAGTCCAGAAGCAGATAATCCTATTTCTGTCATATTGTCAGAAGATCAGTAGTAGCCTAACACTACATCTCAATGCCCACATCATTCACCTCACTTCGTCTCATCATGGAGGCATTTTATCATCACATGTCATCACAAGAACAATGAGTACAGTACAATAAGTTATATTAGGAGAGACCCCAATCACATAACTTCTTTTGTAGTATATTTTTATAATCGTTCTATTTTAGTATGTTGTTATTAATCTCTTACTGTGCCTACTTGATAAATTAAACTTTATCATAGGTATACACATAAAGGAAAAACACCGTACATATAGGGCTTGGTATTATCTGTGGTTTCAGGCGTCCACTGTAGGTCTTGGAACATATCCCCCAGGACTAAGGGAAGATTACTGCATGTAGATGTATATGTTTGAAGGCATCTGAAGGCTACTAAATCAATGAGATTTTGAGAGCCAACACCAAAAGAAAAAAAATCCATGAGAGTTTAAGATGTTTTTCCCCACAAAGCAGTTGAAACTTTGAAAGCAACAGTAGTGGCTGCTCTTAGAGGCTTAGAACTAGACAGAATTTCAGCAGTCCCACAGGACCAAAAGGACAAAAATTAGAGTTTGGAAGCTGACAAGAAGGAGGACTCTAATAAATTTCTCAGGCTTTTGGAGAATTCAAAGGACTACACCCTGAGAGTAATGGTGAACTAAAACTGGACCAGCCCTCTTAGAGACCAAAGCCCAGCTTCAAATCAGCTCAATTTCTGATAGGATTAAGGTGATCTTCCCCCTATTTTAACTGCTTTTCAGGAGAAAAGTAAGTTTTGTCTGGAAAAAGATAATATTATCCCTAGGCCCTCAAATTATCTCTATAATTTCCATAAACAATATCTAGCATTTAATAAAAAATAACTAGACAGGGGCGCCTGGGTGGCTCAGTCAGTTAATTGTCTGCCTTCCACTCAGGTCATGATCCCAGGGTCCTGGAATTGAGCCCCATGTTAGGCCCCTTGCTCCATGGGGAGCCTGCTTCTCCCTTGGCCTGTCACTTCCCTTATTTGTGTGCTTTCTCTCTCTCTTTCTCTCTCTCTGTCAAATAAATAAATAAATAAAATCTTTAAAGAAAAAAACAACTAGACATACAAAAATAAAATAAAGAGGCCAAAATTACAAAAACAAAACAAAACAAAAAACAAATAATGGAAATAGATCAAAGGATCTAGATATTGCTATTATCCTATACGGACTTTGGCTTGTAAATAACCAAGTGTAAAATCGTAAAGTATTTGTTAAAATTTTAATAATTAATAAAATTTGATATTACATAGTGAACGATGTAATATGTCAAAAGAAAAATTTTAAACTAGAGCACAAGGAGAAAAATGTCTGGAAAACCCAAGAAAGAATATTGGAAACATACAGGACATGGGAACAGATCTAAAAAGATACATATAATTATAGTCCCCGGGGAGAGAAGATGAAGAATGGGGTAGGCACAATATTTGAAGATAAATGACCAATTTTCCAAGATGGGTGAATATCAAGCCAGAGTTATTACAGTGCTATGAACCCCAAGCGGGATAAACCCACATGTAGGAAAATCAAAGTAAAAATGCTGAAAAACAAAGCAAAAAGAAAATCTCAAAAATAGCCAGAAGAAAAAGTAATTATCTTCAAAGGAGCAGCAGGAAGACTGGAAGCTGACTTCCCAATGGAACACTGAAAGCCAGAACCAAACGGACAACGTCTTCAAAGTGTTGAAATAAAGTAACTGCCAACAAAGAATTCTACGCCCAATGAAAATATCTTTCAAAAATGAAGACAAAACAAAGATATTTTCAGACCAAAGCTGAGGGAATTCTTCACCACAGATAGATAGGCAGAACAAAAATCCCCAGTGGAAGCCCAGAAATGCGAGAAGTAATAAAAAGCAAAGAAAAGGGTAAATCTAGATATTGACTTTATAATATAAGAGCAATAACATTTTATGGAGTGCGTATTATAGAGAAAAGTCAAATACAGGATAGCAAGAGTTCAAAGTCAGGGATGTAAATGGAATTGCATTATCCTCCAAGAAGTGAAGTATTTATATGGGAATTTAGGTCAGATAATACAGCATTGTCAACACTGTGCAGGAAGTGTCCACAGAGAGCTATGAGTGCTTAGAGGAGCAGGAAATAATGTCTGCTTTATTTCCATAATGAATTAAGACTGTGGATAGCAGGTGACTTGCTTTAAATGTTCACATAACTCAACCTGACCAGTAATGACAAGCCTAAGAAACAAAGCAAGAGATGACAAGCTTTTGATTTTGATGAAATCACCTTGTCCTGTTCACAGAGATTCTAACTCACAGAAACAGCTAGGGTCCAGGAAACCTGCGTTTACAACAAGCACCTCTAGGGAATCTGAGACAGGCAGAGCTCAGAACACTGTGGGAGAGGCTGACATACATGTCACGAAAGACAAGCTGCAGAAAGCAAGTCCTGCTTGTGACTTCATAAAGGGCGTTTTCCTCTCCCATAATCCAGATTACTCCACAGGAACATTTACTTCACAAGAAGGGTTTTTCAAGGGGGATTTTAACTCTTCCTGAGTATTTCATGGCCTTGAAAGGCAACTATTGCTTTATATTAAATAGAAAAAAGAAGGTTTATTACACAATCAGAGACTGTCTAAGGTCAGGGTGCTCTAGGTATCTCTGTGTTCCGAGTGTGCACAACAGTCCGTAGGCTACCTTTTCTTCCCCACCCCAAGCCAAGACGTGATACATGGAAGCATTTTAGAGTACCTTTCTCTTCTAGTACTTTTGCAGCATTTGTTGCAACTCTGTAAAGCAATGAAAATTAGTACAGATGTGAAGCAATGACTTAACGGTCAGGTAAACAGTACAAAATGTAACATCTGATATGAGCATCTGATGAAAGTTCTGGACCCTCTGGTAGGAACATACATACAACTTCAGGGGGTTCCACTGGCCCTAAATTAGGAATCCTTTCCTTTAATACTCCCAGGGAGAGTTCTGGAACAGGCTTCAGTGTCCTCGATAACCACAGAGCTACACCGTCCCCTGCATTACAAACAGGCACGCGGAGATGGCAATGTCTCTAGCCACATGTGGGATGTGAGAGAAACCAGAGCTCCACCTCCCAGCTCAGTGTTCCCTCCTCGGCTCATCGCTGCCTCTGATGACACCAAAGCCCCAAGGACCGCCCCCCCAAAAAGCCATCTTCAGACCCCACTTACCCTGTACCCAGAGAGTGGCCCCAGAGACACACAGGTGTGGAACCACTTCTCGCCTTGGTCCACTCGTAAACACAAACGGCATCCGCGGTCAGCCCCTCCTCTGTGGGCTCACCCGTGGAATCCCCGTACCCTGTGGTAAGGAAAAACGAGCACAAGTATCACTACCTCCAAAAGGAGGGCTATCAAAAGCCCCCTGGCTTATTGAAAAGTCTTTATATACTGTTCTTCACACACACCTCTGTAGTCCACAGACAGGACGTGAAAGCCACCATCGCTCAGCATCTAGATGACAAAGGAGAGGTTATCATTGTGATTAGAAGGTGTAAACTGAAGAGGGGGTATAACCTCCTCAACACTTCCATAATCCTCACTGCGCTGGTTTCCTAGGCAGGGAATAGATGAAATCTGCTGTTTGACCTCAAATGTGAGAAGGTCAGACTCAAAGGGAAAGAAGGGAGGCGGGCGGCAGAGCAGGTCAGACAGCCTGGACACACCCTGGCTCTGCCCTGGCCCTGTGACCTTGAGCCACCTAACATCTGAAGAGGTAAACAGTATTCTGAAAAGTGAAAAAGAATAGTAGCTCCTTCAGGACTGTTGGAAGATGACGTTAGATGAAAGTATTGAAGTTGGTACAAAGCAAATGTCCATTTTAAGAATTCGCTTGAGAACAGAAGGTCTACAGAGTTGTAGTAGAAGCAGTCAAATAATGGGAAGATATTTATATTAAATGTGAACAGATAGAGTTAATGTCAATCAAAAATAAAGAGATTGCTTGATTAGATGAAACCATGGCCATGCTCCATGTAGATAAACGAGGAAGGAATATGACGTCATTTTAAATGAAGTGAATTACAATGACAGACAAAGAAGAGGGGACAAAAATGTACCGTGAAGATACTTCTATAACTTTATTTAATCCTCACAATAGTCCCTAAAGGTAGGTATTATCCCCATTTTAGAGATAAAGAAACGGAGTCCTGAGGGTTTAAGTAACTCATTCGTGGTCACCCAGATGGCTAGAGACAGAACCAAGACTCACACCTGGGTCTGCTTCTGTCCCAACACCGTGCTTCCCCTGCCACAGCACAGATGTGGGGAGCTGAGTTTCCCCAGGAGTCTTTCAATGCAAATTCAGCTAATACTGAGGAACTAAAGGAAACTCTTTTATATCAATTTTGGCCTTGCCTCCAAAACAGTGATCCAGGACACAGAGCAGTTAAGCACCCCGGAAGTGGGAATGTCCATGCATCGTTTGTGGCATCGTTTGTAGATGGAAAGACCACTTGGTGAAACAACTCGAGAACAAATCTGACTCCTAAAAATTTATCTCTAAGAAAAAAAGTCCAAAAAAAGAAGAAGAAACTAAATGCTTCAAGTTTTCTCTAGCAGCATCACTGAAATGATTTTAGGGGGGAAGATATTGTATCTAGCAACAATGGAATTGTTAAATAAACAATTGTCTACAAATATAATAGAGAAGGATCACCTTTTAAATTGGTAACTATGGTAACTACAGAAAACCATGGAAGAATGTTTATAACATAGTATGCACATAACATAGTATTAAGTAAAAGAGCAACAACATAGAATTACATATAGATATAATCATAATAACATAAAACTATATAAAGCGATAAAGACAACTAGGTGGGATTGCAAATTAATGAAAACAGCTGCACTGGGTGACTGAAGTGATGAATGAAATGAATGAGAGAGAGGGAGTGGAGGAAGAAAGGAAAGAAGAAAGGAAGGAAGGACAACATGATAGCAAAGACTTGATTTTTAAAGGAAGTCACCCCATCCAAAGAGAGAACGAAGGGCTATAGAAGTCTGGTCAGGGTGGGAGATGATGACTATGGCACAAGGTATCCAGAATCTTCCTGGAGGAAGAAGTCTTATCATACCTTCCCTTCCCATCCCAACTACCACAAGAATGCCCTGGCTCCTTTTCACACCTAAATCTATGTTTCTTCCTTTCTGTGCATGCAGGGGCTATACAATTCAGCTTTGCAAAGAGTGAGGGAGAAAAAAACAAACACACACACGTTCTCATGGACATCAGCCTCACCACCATCCCATGTAGAGAGTGCAAAGAGTGAGGTGCAGGGTCGAAAGCAAACCTAAAAATTAATACACATTATCATCCTAGGCAGAACTGCACCCAGCCCACCACCCACCAGAGTCGGCTCTGGGAAGGCCATGAAGAAAGTGAGGAGTCCACAGGAGAGGAGCCTCCTGTCTGAGCCAGGGAGGGAGGATGAAGGAGGTGCTGGCCACACTGGGCCGGGCAGAATGCGGGGCCCCATCTGGCTGTTATACCAGGGAAGGGCTCTGAGGTGGGAGCTGACCTGGCGTGTGGGAGGAAATATCAGAGCACAAGCACTGATCAAAAAGTGCACCAGCAGCCTGGTCACCTGAGGGAGAGATTACCCAGCTGGGGTGTGGGAGAAGATAAACAGATAGCTGTGCTACCAGCTTTGAGTCAGCCATGGCTGTGTCTCCCTCACGCTCCGAAAAGCAGGGGCCGCCCCAACAAGCTGCCATCGTGTAGCAGGCTAGCAAGAAGAGGAGTGTGGCCACCATTCCACATGCAAAACCTTCTATGGGGCTGAAGCCAGAGCCTGAATGACTCTAACAGCAGACATTCTGTGTATTTATCCTCTGTCACACAAAAAAAGGCTGTTTCTCACAGGAATAACTTTCACATTTAATATACTCTCACAACCCTCCCCCAGCCCTCAGGAAAAGCCGATAAAGAGGGTCTTCAACTCCATCCGGTGATGAAAGCAATGTATTTATGAAAGTGTTTGGGGAATCAGGAATGTTCACTTCTGTTCAGATGCCCTGTGGTCACGGCAGGACCTTGAGTCCCACCCTTGGGAGCTCTCGGTAGATCCCCCCGCTGAGGACTGAGGAAGATCTATGGCTGTAGCCCATAAGAGGAAAAAAAAGAGATGTAAAATGGGTACCTTGAAGCCCCTTCAGACATACCTTTACTAGCTCAAGTCTGTGAGGAGCTGCCCTGTGGAGAAGGTTAAAATAGAGAGCGAGAATTAGGAATTACAATAACAAATTCAATAAAAGTCACTCTCCTGCTTCTGGCATCTGATCTCAAGCATTTGTTTTTGAGGTTAGAGAAATAAATAACTAGAAGAAAGGGAAATGGGTTTTGGTGTCATAGCCCACTTGGATGTGTCAGGGGGAGTGACGGATGGCTCCCCAGGGCCACTGTGTTCCTCTGTGAGCGCTGGTCGCCCAGATGGCTAGTGCTTCTCAACAGAGGCATGTGAGGAATTACTGATAATTCACCTCCTCTCACTGCTACACAGCCAGACTAATTTCTAGGGATACTTTTAGAAGCTAAAGGAAAATCAGTTCCAGAAAGTGGCTTTTCAGAACAAAGGATGATAGAGTCATGTTCATTAAGCCAAGACCTGCCCTTAGTTGACTCTGCCATTAAGTACAAGAGGAAGTGAAGGGGACTCGCAAGGCTAGAGGTACAAGAAACACTTTTTCCCAAAATAACCATATCATCTACTCTCTATTAACCATGTTGTTAAAGGAGAGACAAGGATGATTGAAAAGGCAAGGGATTCTTTTAAAAAACCTTTGAATTTTGTCTTAAAGCCAAAAAGTCTAAGACTGAAGTCTTAAGCTTCAAATGCATCATGAAGCCCTTTGAACATAAGATTAAAGTTATGGACCCATTGCCCAGAAAAATGTATCCACAATTGAAATTTTTAGTGCAATTTTGGGAGGAGGTTCATGGACCCTGTAGGGTTTCTCTGGGTCCCAAGTCTAGAACCACTGTTCTCAACAAGGCTCCTGTAACCTCCCATTTGGCCTCCTTTTGGTTCAGTACTGCTGAGACTTTTGGCAGGGGACAGGAGGAAGCTGAGGCTAACCCCAAAGCCAGTAAATCGGGGATCACAGCAGATCCACACAGAGGGACAGACATGAATGGGTGAGCTGAATGATCCTTTAAATACACACACTGTAACACCATGCCCAAGTTTGCACAATCAGAACAATGTTCAACAATGCTGAAAAAGGTTGAATTTCAGGGGAAATCTCTTTAAATGTCATTCTAAAATGGACACCTTTGGAAAGCCCCTAGTGCAAAGACAAAGCTTGAGAAAGCCATCAAGACAGAAAAAGTGAGAAAAAGGGACATAGGCAAGGGAGCCAAGGGGCAGATTCCAGAGCTCGTTGCTTAGTTTGCAGGCAGCTCCATCTGTGGGTCTCTGAGGCACATTGCCCCTCCCCCAACCTGAAGCCATGCAGTCACAGCTGATAATCATCACCCACCATAATGACAGGCCCACTGGCAGGCCTGGCAGCACATCAGAGGGGATCAAGACTCCAGGGAGGCATTCTTCATGACAAAGCAAGGTGGGAACAACAGAGGGTGGGCTGAGGCATCAGTCTTCTAGACTAGAACCAGTCAGATGGTTCCCAGTAGCAACGGTCAGAATTCCAGATGATCTCTCATAGGGAGTACACACATCTGATTAACAGGACTCCTGCCAAATCAAGGAATCCCCAGGCCCTTCGGTGAGGGACCATCGATAAGGAAATTTCTCTTCCTTTTCCCCCCTCTCATGCCTGTTCCCTTTCCCATCGTCCATGGGCTCAGTTCATTATTTTGGGCACTCTTTGGGACTAAAGGAACCACTGGCTTCTTGGAAACCAATATCCGAATTTTGGAAGTTGGTCTACCTTTCAGTTAAATGTCGACATTAGTCTACATACAGAATATATAGATTTTTTTTTTTAAGAGAAGCCTATTGCCAGAACACACTCAAATTTCAACAAAGGGGAAAAAAATATATGTGGAGGCATATTTACAGGGTCAAAAGGGGAGTTCTGCCTTTCCTTCCCCCACCGGACTGAAATGCTCCCTCTGTCTTAAAAGAAAAGAAAAGAAAAAAAAAAAATAAGCGAAGACATGGACCTGTGTTCTGCGCTGCCGTGAAGATAAACAATAATTGGATTGCCATCCTGAAGGGCTGCTTCATACCAGCCACGGTCCTTCCCCTTAGCATCTTCCCCCCGGCAGCTGGGAACTGTGTGCCTGAAGAACAAAGAAACATTTTCACAAATGTACAGACAGAATTCGCTCTCCTTGCCAAAGTCTGAAACCCTCCTCATGTCAATCAAAGACATACATTTATAGGTATATATATGTATAAGTATACATATATACATAATGGAAGCTTCTGAGTAGCGCATGCACATGATAAAAATTAAAATATAATACTACAAACACCTTACAGTGACAACCACTACTTCTCTACCCCCTCCCCCATGCACAGAAACAACCCCTTTTAACCATTTACTGTTTAAGTCCTTCTGACTCCTACATCCACTAATCTTCCAAGACTACAATTCTTAGGTGTAGTCCATGGAAATCCAGTCCGTTGGGTGGAAACAAGTAAAAGACAATAGGTATGTGCCACCTGCTATTGGTTTGGCTAAAGAAACAAGTTGAAAGAATTTAAAGGGAGACCAGTTCAGGTGGGAGAAAACAAATATGAAACTAAGCTCTTCTATTCAAGAAACAGTGACCTTGTGGGGTTAAACACCTGCTTGAGCTCCAGTCCCTCCACCTGTTAAACCAGTGAGTGACTCCTGAAGATAAAACAATGCCGTATGACATGTCACAGGGGGACCTGGAAAAGTGGCCACGTAATAATAAATCTTCAGGCTTCTCACCCTTTAGGGGCAGAAAGGCTGACATCGAACCCCAGGGCCCCTGGACTAAGAGGACTGGCATCCCAGCCAGCTTGGTAAGCCAGGGCAAGAACAGCAAATAAAAAGATTTTCAAATTCCAACACTCTTCGCTGCATTGGACTGTGCAGATTAGGAGGAAGTTATGTGAACCCATATTGGTTCCTAAACATTCTATGATGACATATTTAAATTCAGGGAAAGGAAATATAAAACAGGACACTGGGAAACCGGCAGCCAAGAACAAGAAGTAGAACCAAACAGAAAAAAATGTTGACAGGAGAATAGCAAAAAAGATAATAGAATGCTCATGATTTTGACAACTGAGTGGTGTTTTTGGTTTTTTTTGTTTTTTTTTTTTTTGCTGTCCCAAGCAATGAAAACCCACCAGTGAGAGAAAGAAAGAAAGAACAAAAGAAAGAAAGAAAAAGACAAGAAAAGAAAAAAGAGGGGGCACCTGGGTGGCTCTGTTGGTTAAGCAGCTGCCTTTGGTTCAGGTCATGATCTCGAGGGCCTGGGACTGAGTCCTACATCTTACGTCGGGCTTCCTGCTCAGTGGGGAGCCTGCTTCTCCCTCTGCCCCTCCCCCTTCTTGTGTTCTCTCTCTCTCTCACTCTCTCAAATAAATGAATAAAATATTTCTTAAACATTTAAAAAAGAAAACCCACCAACTAAGTCACCTACAAGAGCTATAGTCTTGTAAAGAAGACAAACATTAACCGAATAATCGCACAAATGTTTATTTAACTACAGTGGGGGAAATGCCGTAAAAGACAAGCACAGGTTGCCACCTGTGCCTGAAATGGGAGATGAGGAAGGGCTTCTCTGAAAATTATCACATTACCATTTAAACTGAGACCCTGAAGATGAGGTAGTTAGGCAAACGGAGGGAGCAGAGACCTAGAAATGTGGCACACAGAGCATATTCTGCAAGAGCATGGCTTGGGGAGCTAGGAGGCTAGCTGTTCTGGAACAGTGTGGGAAGGCCAGCATGGAACACAGCAGAAGAGTGGGACAGCCCAGGTCCTGAGGCCTGGTGAAAGACCCAAAGCACGGGGCCAAAAAGACTTCGCACTCCAAGCTAAAACCACTGAAAAGCAAATTCAAGCAGGTCAAATATCAATACAAAGGGAAGGTATATGGAACAGCTTCCTGGTGACTCCAAGAAACACCAACCTCTCCACAGGCAGCTAGCACAGCACTGCTCACCCTTGCCCTTGTAACATGAAAACCACGCCCATCAAGCAACCGAGTGTCCATTAGTGCACTCACCAGATTCCCAGAATCACCCCAGGTTCAACTCTGATGTACAAGTTCACCGTGTGAGGAATCTTTAACTCCGGTTTCTTTAAATCCACAAGAAATGGTGCTTTGACTAGAAAGTAGAATTCATTATCAAAACCCAGAGCCAAATTCCATGTCTTTTAATCACAATTAAAAAAATTAGTCTTATGGTTAACATGGTTTCTACGTTGTAAGCTACCATGTTAAATTCCTAGCAAAGTGTTCTATTTTATAAATGAGGAACAGCCCACAGGAAAGTTGCCAAAACAAAACAAAACAACAAAAACAAAAACAAAAACCTCTAAAGCCGGATTTTATTTTTTATTTTTTTATTTAAATTCAATTAGCCAACATATGGTACATCATTAGTTCTCGATGTAGTGTTCAATGATTCATTAGTTGCGTATAACATCCAGCTAAAGCTAGATATTAAAATAGCACTAGTGTGATGGGACATCCTTATCCTCATCTCCAGCTAAAAACAAAGGAGACCATTCCCCTAAAAAGATAAGGGGGTCTAGGAGAAAGTAATGAGTATTCTGCTACCTATGTCAAGCATTACATTTTCCACTAAATAAAACCTAGTTATTAGCCACAAATCATGAAATGGCCTGAAGCAACAAACCCCTGGGGACCACCCGCTGAGAGCATTACCTGTGTGCTAGGACTGTGTTACACTGACTAACAGCACTCAGAAAAAACGCGGGAGAAGAGATTCCTCTCAACAACCAATCCCCAGCCCCAGATCCCCATTTTCTCTTTCAAGGGATATAGGTAAAAAGAAAACATAAAAAAGTAGAGAATATACCAAGCAGTAAGGCATCCCTGTTAACAGCTAATTCAAATTGAACTCCTGAACTGAAACCACCCACAAGACTGTTTTTCTATCCATCCCCCCACCAGTCTGTAAGATTCACGCTAGACCCCAAAACCTCTGTGAAATAGGTTTCAGACCATTGGAGTCTAACCACAATTTTATAGCCGATGTGCCTTTTTCATTGTCATATGGGTAACTTTAAGTACCGTAAGTCCTTTCTTTGGGAAAATATATATATAGGCAAATCCATGACAGATATATACTTACAAAAATTAAAAAATATTAGCATGTTCATCAGAGGAGGAAAAATGTGTTCTTTTAATGGTTTACTAGTAAAGCTGTTGTACAGAGAGGCAATTTTTCTTCCAAGTGTTGAACAGGAATGTGGAAAAGATCTGCAAGATGTAACAAAAGCAAGACATTCAAAATCAGTCCGAGTTTTGTCATTTGTTTTCTCTTAACATCCAAATAAAATTTCAGAAACTAACACTGGAATTACAAGTAATTTGGTATTTAAGCAAAATGTTTTACAGAATTGCATGCCATTAGTACAGATCAGGACTGGGCCCTAAGGGAGAACGGGAGAGGAAAGCAGTAAAGCCAGCCCCCAGGCAGCGGGTGAGACTAGCTTGGTAGGACAGAACAGGAGTGGGGGAACATGAGTGCACTGGAGTCAAGCCTGTTTCCTCAAGTGGATCCCAACGCAAGACCAAAGCTGGATCCCCAAAGTCATCAGGAAACAGGATTCAGACTATTTAACAGTTGTCACAGTTTTTAATCACATCACAGTTTAGCTGTACGTATTAACTATTATTATTCTAAAGCAGTAAATGAAAAACCATCAGATCCCTACTCTTCTGGCTGGGTCTTAGGAAGAAATGAGCCAATGAAAAAAAATCCCCACTTGTGATGTGACGTCCCTGGTAAGAGGGACTGTGAGGAGCAAGATGGGGAGCAAGGGGAGTGCCTGGAGGGTGCTGCGACATCAGGGCTGGGGCCTGGTCAGGGAACAGGACACGCCAGACCAGGCACGCCAACCACCCAAACCAGGAGCCATCAGCAGATAAGTTACACTTGTCCATGAAGGGTCACTAATGCCACGTCTGTCCCTAGGTACATCTCTTATCAGAGTTGAAGGTCTCCTACCTTGGAGAAAGAACAGACACAGGAAGTCAGGGACACCACTTCCTGTTTCCGGTTTTTGTCCTCCTTATCCACTGAATAAATCCCTCCCTGATTTGAGCTGTCAATGTGAAGACTGCTCAGTAAATCAGATGAGTCTGTGGGACTGGAAAGCATGTTGGATGAATGGTTTCCCCTGTCCTGGTTTCTCTGCTAGACCCGAGCATTTTAGAAGATAGCTGTTATCACCTGTACTTTGCAGATGAGGAGACTGAAAAGTTAAGGTAACCTGCCCCATGCCACAGAGCCAATGAGTGGCTGAGTCATGCATGCCAAGGTCTGTCCGACCCCAGTGACCCCAATGAGCTGTCACCATCCTGGTGAGGGCAACTTGCCATGCATGCAGGCAAAAGGAAACCCCAGGAACGAGACTGGCTTCTGGCAAGATTCAGCTCTTCGAGAAAGTTGTTTCAGGATTCTGCTTCTCCCCTTCTGCAACCTTGGCCCTTAGGGTCCCTCCTCTTCTTCCTTCCTGTTCCTATATTCTCAGGAACCTCCTGACTCTAAAGTCATCAAAGAGAGACCTCTAAGAAAAATTCTCCCTCAAATGTTAATAACTAAAAAATCAGAGTGCTTATATGTTTGGAAGAGGCATGAAGGGAGAAGATAATGAATCTCTGATGAATTTCCAGCAATTCTGCAGGGAATGGAAAAGAGACGTGGGCTAAGTTAGGTAGTGGGTAGCTCTCCAAGTACATCAGACATAGGCAACTGCCTACACACAAAATTAGCAAGGAAAAAATGAAAATTATCTTTTCATAATAGTTTAAAATAGCCTCCATGAAGGTGGTAGGAAGGAGAGGACATCGTTGCTCTGATTTTAGAGAGAAGAAATAAAAACCCAGAGAAGCCACTTTGAGCCCCAGATCAAGCCCAAATGGGCAAAACTGAACACAATCTGAGTTCTTCCTTCCCATTGGCTGGCTCAGGCTTTCTTTCTCCTGACTTGAACTCATGCTACCCCTCCTGTTAGTCTCCTACTAAGTCATCTTTTGAAGGCAGCAGGGTGCTTGGGAAGCAGAGACGGTGGAGGGAAATATGTTTCTGTTTTTAAAGAATAATTCATGTAGGCCCTTCTCTCAAATAGCTCCAGGCACTTCTGTGAGAAGCACTGCGGGAAGAGAACAGAGTGACCAGATTCCTGGGAGCATCAATAATGCACAACAGCTTCTTTTAACTAGGGGTTGTCGATTTGACTTCCCCTAGATCAGTAGGGGATCAAAAGTCACCAGTGGCTAATAGACCTTATTTGAGTGGAGGATGCAATTTCAGCCCAATCCCTGCCAACGGCCAGGCACATCAATCAGCCACCTTGATGCCTTAGTGTTCTTTTCCCTGCCCCTTGATCCGCTGTGGCTCCAACTGCACAGCACCCCACAGGGGCCACAGAACTAACTGGATCATTCCTACCTTGGAACCTGAGTGGCTATGGGGCAAATCATTCATGTTCATGCTCAGAGGCACCAGCTTTGGGAAGCCCAATTCTAACCCCATTTGGCAAGACAGCTATCCCAAACGGTAAGACTTGCCACACATCCATCCCAGGTGCCCATTCATTTGGCCAACATGTACTGACCCCCAAGCACCTAGGTTACATCTATGGTCTCCTCCCTTCTTTCCATTCCACCAAATCCTCCCCCTTCCTTCCCATCCATTCAAGTGTCCCTTCTCGCTTAAAGCCTCTATGCACAGATCTTCCTGAGGTGAGCTTTCCTCTCTTTTCACCCCTCCCACTCATTATAATCGGGCCTCGGTCTGACCCTTAACTGTTCTCTGGGGGTTCTCCCGCTATTAGTCGTGGCTTCCCACTGAAAAGAATCACCCAGGCTCTAGCACACCATGTCTAGCACAGGACTGAGCCCTGAAAGAAAAGTGTATTTCTTTCAGGAGGGAGAATGAAGCAATGCTTATTGGTAGCTTTGGGGAAGAAGGGAAAGGCTTCATATTCTTTTTTGAATTATAATTGAAAAATTAATTGTGAGCTCCACAAGAGCAGGGCTTTGTCCCCTGGCCTAAACTTGTGCCCAAAAGGTAAGCGATGACCAGGACTATGGAAAGAATGAATTAGATTATCAGCCTGCTCGTGGGGGTTTCCTTAACGCTATCCAGAAATGTAAAGACTTGGGGGTGAATGGGGAGCAACGAAGAAGGAACTAGCCCACTGGCTTCCCCCAGCTTCTTTCCTGAGCACATTTTCTGTGTTTCTTGTTTGAAGAAAACCAGTGGTGAATGAAGACTGACTTCCCCCGGGCCCATCGATCTTAAGTAGCGATGACAGCTGATGAAATTTTTGCAAAATAAATAAATAGATCCCCAACGCATTAAAAAATAATCACTGAAAACATGTTTTGGTGAATTGTTCTCCTGAATCACATAACACATCACCGTAGATCCTGGGCTTCTAGCAGCCCCAGACCCACAGGCAGCTGTGAATGTTTGAGGACCTAAGCAAACTTGGTTCCAAGAACCAAAAGGATTCAGGATCCTGGATCTCCGTCTGTGCTTCTGCCTCAGTGTATCTTAAATTAGAGCAGTAATTCTCTGTTCAGATGAAGAAATGTGCTTGTATTTTATTCTTTTGGGAAACATCTCTTGAGACCTGTTTTTTAGTCATTTAGTATTTTTTGCCGACTTTAGTAAGGCAAGTAAGCAAGGGTCCCCAACTCCCCAAGTCCCACTCCATTATCAACAAAGCAGGTTGTTCTCTAAGAGCATGAACTGCAGGTTTGATTCTCTGCCAAATAAATGTTAAGTTTCAGCCATCATCTCTGGAGGGAGCACAGAAGACAAAGGCAGAACATGCCAGCTTTCCCAGAACAGCCATATCAAGGTGGTAAAGCCTATGAATGTGCCGTCAGTCAGGATGTTCTGACTCATGTTGAGATCCAACACAGAAGAGGGGTATGGGTCTACACTGCTGGGCCAGGCGAAAGCTGCTCTCTGCTCTCTGCCCCGAGCTACAGAAGGAATAGAAGAGAGAATATGAGTTTTTGTCTTCATCACTCAGACATTCCAATGTGAAGTCTCCTGGTCTGGACGGGACTCTTGGATATTTTGTAATCAGCAAGAAACAAAACTAAGGAATATAAAGAAGAAAGGTGAACAAAAGGCCAACACCTTCCTGCTCCAACAAAACAAGATACCTGAGTCTTCTGAGTCCAGGGTCTCTAACCAATACCAGGCTTCAACACAAATGAGACCAGCAATATATTGCGGGTCAACTCAGGTAGTTTAACATTACCCTTTAAGCCAAGGATTTAGAATGGGAGCCAGAGGGGCGCCTGGGTGACTCAGTCAGTTAGGTGTCTGACTCTAGATTTCAGCTCAGGTCTTGATCTCAGGGTCATGAGTTCAAGGCCAGGGTTGGGTGTGGAGTCTACTTAAAAAAAAAAAAAAATAAGGTAGGAAGAAAATTTAAAAACCCTCTGATAGAGACATTTCAGAGTTAAAGGATGTAAGAACTTGGCACAGGTATGGTTTCAATGCACTATCCACTTTTAGCATTATGGAGGGATGTTCTTTAAATACATCCAAGAGACTTTACCCTGGGGGACCTGGCCTTAGGATCCTTTTCCACCTACACAGAGACACATTTGACCTAAGAGGATGCCATCTAAGAAAGAGTACAAGATAGGTTACTATTTTTGGTCTTTAAAATCCCTCCTGAATTTCAGTAAAATGGTCAAGGCAGAAAAGGTCAAGGCTTGGGGTAGGAACCTGAGCCATCTTTCTGAAATCTCTATTTCAGAAGCCCCCAAAGGATGCCAAGTTCCCTAAAGCTCAGACTCCAGAGGCAGAGGGTTGCTAGATAAGGCGGCCCAAAGGGCTCCCAGAGCTTTGGGGGTCTTCGAAGCCCCAGCCCCCGGAACCACCGCCAGGCGCCTGACGCACCCTGCCCATCCCTGCCCCGGGTTCGGGGCGCGTGGATGGGGTTGGGGGACGGACGGGTCGCTAGGCGGCGGGCCACGAGCACTCACCGAAGGTTCCGCACCACCATGTCCCACCAGGAGGCCACACAGTCCTGCCTGTCCGTCTCCATCCCGCGCCGTGTGTCGAGCCGCCGCCGGGGAGCGGCGGCCTGGAGCCCGAGCCGCCCCCGCGGACGCCCGGCCCGCCCTCCTCCTCCGCGCGGGGCCCTGCTGCCGGGCTGCGGGCGGGCTGCGGCCGGGGTTCGGTGGCTCGCGGCGCCCTCCACCCCCGCGCCCCCATCTGTGCCGGAGAAGCCAGTGTGCCAGGCTTGTGGCTAGCTGTGCACGATTTCCTTTATACTTTATTTTATACATGTGTGTGCGTGTGCGCGCGCGCACCGCGTGCTGAACTGAGATTTCTTACTGTGCTAGTCATAGAACAGAAGCCAGCTATCACAGCCGCCGAAGATCTGCATGAGGAAAATAAGGTTTCCTCTACTTTGACCCGTCTTCTTTTTTTTTTTTTTTTTGTTGTCTTTTTTTTTTTTCCCTTTTCCTGAAGCTTCCCCCTCTCCCGCCCCCTCTCTCTCTCTCTCTCTCTCTCTCTCTCTTTGCTCCCCCATCCCCGCCGTTGAGTAATGGTTTATCCCTCCACAGGGTTATGAGCTACACAATTAACACCAAAACTGACACCTTTTTGGCACTGGTTTATTTACCAACATCGAACACAAGGAGTTCACACCTTGAAACGTTTCGCCCCGATACATGCTTACATGTCACCCAGGGAAGTCACACAGCCAAGTAGGAAGGCAGAAGAGGAAGGAAGGGAATGAGGTCTCCGTCAGCTAAAATTTGATACCAGCATCAAGACTTCATCTTGGAAGCACGGTGCAACCTCCCCCAGAGGGAAAGTGTGTTTTGTGGTGCCCATGCCATGGGGCAGCAGGCTGATGGAGGACTGCCAAGCCATGGAAAGTGCCCAGGGACCCACCTGCTTGGGGCTGGTAGGCCAGTCTGGAGAAAAGCACCCAGGCCTTTCAAGAAAGGGCAGTTCTCTTCAAGGACTAGGCCATTTCCTATAACTAGTCAGACAAGGCTGAATCTTGTTCACCGCCTCTTATAATCGCTCTGGGGATGTCAATTGTCTGATTCAGATCAAGATAGAAGAGGAATCGCATCTGGAAGGACAGAAGGGACCTAAGCCTGACTGTTGAGCCCGCAATGGGTAGATTTTCTGAGGGCCACACCCTGCATGATGAGGAAGGTTAAAGGCCCCACTCAAGCAGTTGCAAGATTCCTCCCCTGGAGTTGTTCTTGAGTTAGGTCTGGAATCCCACAGAACTTGTTTAGGGAAGCTCCAGAGGAGACCCTGGGCCATGCCATGTGGAGACGGAGTGATCAGAGCTGGGGAGCAGTGGGGCAGGACTAAGCAGCAGCAGCATCTGGCCCCAGATTCTTCACCTGTTTATTCAGGTTGAAAGGGTGGAGGTCCACATGCTGGTTAAGGCAAAATGTTGTGAGCCCCAAGTCTAATGAAATGTTTGAAATGCTCAGCAAATTCTCTGAAGTTGGAAATCACGATGCCCCCCCCCCTTTTTAAAGACTCTATTTGGGGAGGCTGGGTTGCTCAGGTGATTAACCCTCTGCCTTTAGCTCAGGTCATGATCTCCAGGTCCTGGGATCAAACTCCACATAGAGCCCTGCTCAGTGAGGCATCTGCTTCTCCCTCTCCTTCGGCTTCTCCCCCTGTTTATGCTCTCTCTGTCTGTCTCTCTCTCAAATGCATAAGTAAAATCTTTTTTAAAAATAATAAAAACATAAAAGACTATAAATTAGGAACTCTAGGAGAAAGCTTTCCCCAACATTAATAGCCCTTTTTCAAATGGCACATCCTGAAAATGAGAAAACAGGGTCTCTGATTTGATTTGGCAGAATCTAAAACACAAATGATTCATTCATTTACTCAGCATCTATTTACTGAGCAACTTTTAAGTGCCAACTACCAGGTTGGGTACAAAGCATCATCCTGCCTGGTAGAGAGATTTACCTCAGGAGAAATCATGAGAACACAGACTAGGAATTGAAGCATACCCTAAGGGCAGAAATCAGGTCAGGGGGTCACAGGGCCTGGATGTGGGGACAGTAGGGAACATTTTAGGGTGATGGAAATGGTCCGTATCTCATGTGGTGGTGGTTATAGGACTATAATCTTTCACCAAAATTCATAGAATTGGTAATCTTTCAAGGGTGAGTTTGAACATAAATTATACCTCAACATACCTGACTTTTGGAAAAGTGACCTAAGAAATGTACAAATAAATTATATAAACAAACATGTCTTACATGATTTTGTAGAAATGTCAAGACAAAGCTGTGGGTAGAAATACTTCAGAAACCAGTAGTTGGGTGTTTTTTGTATTTCCAGTAGAAAAAGAAATCTCAGAGATAGATTAGTTCTACCACCCAGAAATTATTCTGAAGGGGCACTTGGCTGCCTGTCAGAAGAGCATACAACTCTTGATCTCAGGGCCACGAGTTCAAGCCCCATGTGGGGAGTAGAGATTACTTAAATAAAAACTTAAGAAAAAATAATTGTTCTGGAAAAAAGGAAAGGGAGGTAACACTGCCTGTCTCTCAGCTGCCACACAGTCAGGAAAGCGAACTACTGGTAGTAAAGCATTTGAGGAGCAAAATAGTAGCAAACCACAAATCACCAATTTTATATGATTTAGAGAAAATTTTATCTTGAAAGCAAAGATTTCATCCCCCTTGCATTTTCTTCTTTTTTAGAATCACAGCTTTATTGAGACATAATTCACATACCATAAAATTCACCCTTTGAAGTATATGATGCTGTGGTTTTAGGATATTCATGGAGTTGCATATCTATCCTCAGGATTTAATTCTAGAATGTTTTCCTCACTCCAAAAGGAAGCCCCCTACTCTTTGCTGGGTCATATGGTAATTTTGGGTTTAATTTTTTGAGGAACTGCTAAACTCTTTTCCAAAATGGCTATCCTGTTGTTCAAGCCCACCATCATGAGCACCTCACATACCCCCTTGCTCGTCTTCAACCCTCCTCAGCTTTCCATATGCAAATAGGGAGTTTCAAAAAAAGTGATGCTTGTGAGGTTGAAATGAAACATTGGAGGGAAGTTTGGGGACACTCCCAGATGACAGACAGTGAGTGAGGTGACTCACTCAGAACATTTATCTTTTCTATGCTGTTGAAGCTTTGTATTGTCTTTGCCTATATCAGATCTAATTTAAGGACTGATTTATTTTAGTTACAAGAGTGGGTGGTTGTTCTCAAGTTGAACTTGAGGGTGTTAATATGAGCTTCCTTTTAGCCAAAGGGGTGATTTCTTTGAGAAGAGAGAGCAATGGGAGAGCTGAAACAGGAAGTGAAGGGCTTGAGTGCCTTCTGTCTTCCCAAGAACCCCCTGCACATTCCCAGATGTGGCCCACGGGCTCCTGTGTCCCGTGGCATGAGATGGGACTCTGGTTTTCACTGTGTCTGTGGAATCCCTGAGCCAGGAAGGAGTAAAGCCCAGCGGTTAAAACTCCTCCCTCTCTAGATGCTCTATTCCAAATTCTTCCTGCCATTCCTTAAAAGTGACTTGTTCTGTAGGTTTCCTTCCTAGCCCTGCTTCTCTTCTTGTGTTATACCAGTGTTTCCAAAACCACATGCAACTATTTGGAAAGCTTTGGGCTCAACACAATAAAATATATTCCTTTGGCCAGAATCTCATGTCTCATAATCGTTACTTGGCCAACGTTCTATGAGAATCTCAAGAAGGAGGTATAGAATGTCACTTCTCTCTAATTTCATCTCTGTTCCTCCTTCCCCCAAACCTGTCCTGTCTTGAAGAATAGTTCATAACACACCAGCCTTCCCAAGCCACAAATCTGGGATTCACCCTGGATTCTTCTGCTTCCCTTAAGCCTGGAATTCCCTCTAGATAGAAAGATTATTCTTTATTGTAATATTCATTCACTTAACAAACATTTACTGAGCTCATTTTAGATATTATCTGGCTTAGGAGGCTTACACTTTAATTGCAGGGACAGGACCCACACTGAGGAAGAGCTGAATAACAACCTGGAGCTCTATCACTAGGTAAATAAATAAATATGCATTACAGATAATATCATGGGGCAGTCTCAGGGAACAACAGCTTTGTGGGCTGAAGAGGTCAGGCAAGGAGTTGGGGAAGTACTGTTCTGTTGCTTGGAAACCGCTTTCATAATGGGTGGTAATTTAAAATGGCTATCCAAAAGGCCTTGGAAGATGTTAAAACTGGAAGAAATATAAGCAATCATTCGCCAACTCTCTCATTTTACATAGAGGAAACAGAGACACCCACGCTCCCCACAGAGACCAAATGATAGATGTTCAGCAGCATTCATTCAGTAGTTATTGAGTTCCTACTGCATGCAGAGGCCACACTCATTCAGAAGAGCAGACAAAGTGAGAGTAATTCTCAAAGGACACATGCTATCAGCGGCCCGATACCCTGTATCAAAGCGGGCCCCAGGAAGCAGGGCTGTGTTGGCAACATGGTGGGACCCACTGGTGGTTAGAAACTGGGTGATGAGTCCTTCCACTTGCCCTTGAAAATACAGGAATTCAAATGGTTAATCACAGGTTAGTTATTTCTCCTTGGTGAGTCATGGGGGCGGAAGAATCCACCGCCACCCACAGTGCCAGTGCCAGTCATCCCATCAGATAGCCAGGTGGGCGATTCTGAAGCAATCTTTACAGTGTCCACTCCACGGAAGCTGACATGGCCAGAATTTTTGTGAAATGGAAACACCATGGGTTGGTATTAAGACAAACAAACAGCACTGGGGGAGATTCTCACTGGCAGGGATTTTTTTTTTTTTTTTTAACTTCTACTGGAGTTATTTTTTAAATGTGCCTCTAACAGATTCAGAGAAGAGCACTTCCATAACCAAGGCCCAGCCTGAGGAAAACAATGACATAGGGTTTTCATTCCCAAGGAAACCTAACAGGAAAAGCTGAACGATTAGGTGAAAATACATTCATCTTCCTGAAAATGAAGGCACACTCCTGGAGAAATTGTGGAAGACAGGAAAAAAGTCCCAGCTGTAGACAGAGTAAACAGGA